TAAATAAATAAATAAATAAATAAATAAATAAATAAATAAATAAATAAATAAATAAATAAATAAATAAATAAATAAATAAATAAATAAATAAATAAATAAATAAATAAATAAATAAATAAATAAATAAATAAATAAATAAATAAATAAATATTGGAAACATGCTCCTAATATACAGTTTATATATATATGCTGAATATAAGTATGTATTTTCATATTCAGTGTATTAAGATGGTACATTTTTTGTGTAATCATATTCAAGTTTAAAAAAACAAAACACAGATAATGTCACACAATTAGCAGAAAATGTGATAAAAAATGGTACCTTAGACTGGGTGTTGTTGGGGTACTTGACAAATGTCTGCATGGATGTACTTAACATGGGAGCAGATTTCTTTAACATTGCCATGGCAGATAAAACTCTCTCTCTTTGTTTAGGATTTGTCAGCTCTCTTTGTCTTCTGTCAGTCAGATTGGACACTAGCATTAACGATTCTGAAAAGCCCTATTAAAAGTGAATGTCAGGGAATTGTGTTAAAGATATCATAACAAAGACATAGTAATAAAATGTACATTCCTTTACATGGATGGTGGACGATCGAGGCAACAGGAAACAAACAAAAGGGCAGATTATACAGGATTACTGTACACTGATGGACTATCCTACTAGTATTGTGTGAACCTACATTTGTAATTAGTACTTAGTCTAGCAATATACTAACATTATAATATATATACATGATTATGTGCTGGTTAATTCCATGATTGCTCACTAACTATTTCTAGCAATTTGCTAAATTTATAAATGGTCACTACTGGTTAATGGTGGACTATTCCACTCCATTGATGTTCACTAACTAATTAATACAAATGTTAAATTATAAATGATTTGTGATGATCAATGATGGACCATTCCATTCTGTGAAGGCTCACTGTTACTAGCTATGTGCTAAAATGTAAATGGTTAGTACTGGACTATCTCATATTATGAATACTTGGCAGTTTTTTTTTTTAAATATTTTAACGTAATTTTTCGGACATTTCAATCATTCCTGACGTCTAAAATAGTCCATTAAGTTCTTATTCAAGTGTATGTTTATTGTGACTAGCGTGAATGGGTAAGCTTTGTTTCAACAATGAGCTGTTATCACTGTAAACAATGTTAAATTATTCTTCTAATGTTCAGTTTATCTTTCGAAAACAACTATTTTTTAATTTGAAAAAAAAATCATGCCATTTTCCCATCAAAATCCAAGCAAAAACATCGTACTACAACATCGGCAAATCTCTTCCGCGTTGCGTTTAATAATATTAACATACTTAAATGAGCTATGCTATTTGAACATGTTGGCGTTAACAATCATTTTGATTGGTGATTTGACCTATTAGGTCAATTCATGCAAAAAAAACATGGCGGTTACCCTACAACATCGAGCGTTTATATACGGTCGGAATCATTTGCTAACGATGAAACTAAGTTCTAATTTCAAAACAATTCAAGGAATTTATTTTTTGTGCGTTATTATAATCACTACTGAGTAATAATCAACAATTGTGAAACACAGCATGACCGGATTGCGCAACTGTGATCGTTTGCTACTACGCAATGCAGTTGTGTTCATTTGTATTTAAAACATCGTTTAGAATATACTTTCGTTACCAATAAAATAAAAAAATAAAAGAAAGCTTAGAAAGAACTCCCGTGTGCTGAGAGTATTGGAGACACATTCAAAATTAATTAAAAATTACTTGAACTTGAGATGTTGATGGAAACGCAGAAAACTAATTATGCAAATTAGGTAACTAATATGAACAGATTTAAATGTAAAACTAATAAGTCTGCACAATGTAACAAGTTTCATTGAAATGTGATTAGAACCAAAATAATATTAATTATTATGCTAATTAGAGAATTAATATGACAGATTTTAACCCAAATTAATCAGGCTGTCTATGTCCTAGAGCACTTATGTACCAGTTTTATTCAAATGTGATG